GCTTGCAAGGTTATACCTGTTGATAGTGGTTTCTTGAAGTTAAAAATGTTTTGGTAAAGAACTTGATGAGTTTTTTAGTTTGAGAAATATTTCCTAATTAGGAAATTTGGTGATGGACGGGAAAGAGTTTAAAATAAATATTTTTTTTTAGAATCTTTATACCAAACCAAACTTTATCAAGAAAGACAATCTTTATTATGCGAGTAGAACTTGTTACAAAATCTGATCTTCCTCCTTCTATTTATATATATTGTATATATTATATATATTATATTTAATATACTTACCATTATACTTACCCTTACAATTTTCTATAATTTACCCATCACTTTTTCCCGTAACAATACTATACTTTTTTTGAAAATATAGTTCTTGCTAGTAAAAAAACTATAAGATCAAAAACAGCTTTTTTTATTCTTAAACAAGTTATTTTGGATGGCAAATTAAAAGTATCATTGGAATTTGATTTAGCTTCTTAATAATAAAAAATTGAATGATATTTTTCATATAACTAGAAAATATAGGCTAATAAAATATAATAACAATATTAATAAGATAAAATATACAATTATGAATAAGAAAAAAGATCAATATTCTCTATTTTTTCTTATAAACTTTATTTGTAATACAATATTTAATTTATTGTCTGAAATTAAATATCTTGTAACTAAATTTCATTTGACTATAATAAATAGCAATGATGGCACTCTATTTAAAATAGGAAGTAAATAATTAATTTTAATTAAATATTTTTCAAATTAGATAAAAATTGTTAAGAATATATAAGGAATATAAACCAATTACAAACTAATATAGAAATTATAATAGTATACAAAATATATTTTTTCTTAGAAAAATAAGTAGCTTTTTTCCCTTTATAGTTTTACAAATACATATTATAGAATTTAAGTGATTTTTCTGTAGATTATTATAGATATTCACTTGTAAACATATATATATTTCTTTTTTTTTATTTTTTTATTTTTAATAGATCTAATTAAAGCCAATAAAATATAACTAGTCTGTGGCTAACTTTGTTTGAATAGTTTTTTAAGTTTCTGTTTATTGAATGATAAATAGAAACTTAAAAGCATATATTCTGGCAAGTTAGTTTTTTATATATGCTATTAAGGCTTCAGCATTAATAATATAAAAGATATAGAGGACAACAAGTTAATTGGTAGGTAGCTTTACTATTTTAAGTTGTTTAGAGAATAGATAAAGTCCAACATTTGTTACAAAGTATATAAGAGAACTTATAACAATATTCAATAAACAAGATGTATATCAGTTGTTAAAAAAAATAAATAAATAAATTTTTAAAGAGTAAAAGTTTTAATTTTTTAAAATAATAAGTTTTTTTTTAGATTTTTTAAATGATTTTAATATTAACAAAATAATAAAAATTAATTGGTTTGTTCAATTGTAGATAATAATAATAAATTTGTTTTAATAGTTTGAATTTAAAATTTTTAAAGGATTTTTTAATTGAAATTTTTTTTTAAATATAAAATAACAATTCTATTAACATATATAATAAGTTTTGGATTTTGAGAATAATTTTGTTAAAGAATTTTTTGTTAAATTCTTTAAGAATAAGATCTTGATATAGTAGCTCTTATATTAAACATGAGTTATATTAAGCAATATGGATTTTAAACTGATATAATTTCTTTTTAGTATATTTAAATAATAAATAAAAATCCAATATATTGAATATTTACAGTATATGTTATCAAACAGCAAAACATTAAAAGGTAAGAAAGTTAATATATACATACAGTATATCACTTTATAATTAAAGTCTATACTATATAAATAAATTGAATTAATTTATCAATTTATTTGATTTTTGTTAAATGGTTAACAAATGGAATTATGATAAATACATTATTTTTAATTAATGTAATGATATTAGTTTAAATAAAAATAATTTAATAATAAACTAATATTAGCTATAGATAATTTTATTTTATGAACAAATACGTAATTGTTTAATATCTTTAATTGTCTGAATGTAATAGTGATCCGGATGTGTGTGTATCTTCCGATCACGTGATACATGTTGATGGCGACATATTAATTTTACGGAGTTTTTTATTATACAGTATAACTCTTTTACAGTGAATGTAATTAATGTCCTTGGAGTTGGATTTTTGGGTCACGATTACGTGATGTATTTTCGCATCACGACAAAAATCTTTGGCATGATAGTGATCGATAGTTATGGTGGTGTGATGAGTGCGGGAAACTATACGATCGAGTATTTGCTGTATAAATTATTATTATTTCACAATTTTATATAATATTTTTTAAATAATAACTTAAAATTTTAAAATTTTTTAATAAAATAAATAAACTTCTTAAATGAAACAAATAGGTTTTTTCACTAATAAACCTATTTCTATTTCACAAATTTTTAATTTTTTTTATTAATAAACATTATTTATTTATATATGCATGATTATAACTCATACTGTATATTACAGTTCGCGGCGATTTTCACGATTTTTGACGTGACGATCACTAATAAAGCCTATACACAGGTCGCACAATGCCGTCGATGTGTCGCATGGGGAACAGCCCCTGTCGCACAATTTTGGTAAATTGAAATTGAAATATGCATTGTATGCATTGTATGCCAAATATTACAATTCGCGATTCTGGGACATCGATGTGTAAATTAAAACTTCCCAAAATGTTAACAGTGAAGTACGAATAAAAAACACAGAATTACTTTTTAATGCCGTAGTATTCAACTGGATTTTTCCATTCATAATTCGCTATCTTTTTTATTTTTACGGAATAAAAGTTGAGTTTGCCATGTCTTAATAACGAAGTCGTTATTTAATTCATTACAATCCACGCCGTCACTCCTTCTATTACCTTCCCCATTTATAACATCTAATTTCGCATTCCCGCTTCCTTTAACCCGAAAATAAACATTATTTTTAATTATAATACCGTGGATTATGTATGGAAAATGAAACCTACCCATATATTAATCATTACATTAGTTATATTCACTTCAATAACATTTGCGATAATACCACCACCGTCCATAATTCGACTAAAGTTAGCTTTGCGAAATGTCACATCCACTCCAAATGCTGTCCAAGATTGTAAAAAAAAATTTCATTTCAAACTACTGAATTTGCATAATTGCATATACAAAAGAGCGAATCAGAAAAATACACCTAAAAAAAAAATCGTTTCTCAGTCAGGAACTGAATTCTTTTCGACTTCCTCAGAAACCGATTTCACTTCAACTTCCACAAGAATTAGTTCACCAACAATAATTTCTTCAACGGGTGCGTCAACTTCTAGTAAAAGTATTACGAGTACTTCAACTTCTAGTAAAAGTATTACGAGCACTTCAACTTCTAGTAAAACCATTACGAGTACTTCAACTTCTAGTAAAACTATTACGAGTACGTCAACTTCTAAAAGTGTCACAATTTCTTCAACGAGTGCGTCAACTTCTACAAAAAGTATTCCGAGTACTTCTCTTTCTTCAAAAAGTGTAACAAAAACAACAATTTCTTTAACGAGAACATCAACTTCCACAAAAGTCAGCTCGACGAGTATACCAAAATCGACCCCCTCTCCGATGCAAATCCAAGCAGTCGGTGTCATTGGTTTAACAAATGATGTTGAGGTAAATGAATTCAACTTTTGCATGAAAAATAGTTTTCTTTACATCAATTTGTTAATTCTTTTTTAAATATATAGTGGGTGGCACAAATTGCAGTAGGCACACCACCGCAACCATTTCTCATTAGCATTGACACCGCTTCGGCAGATCTTTGGATCCCCTCTATTAAATGTACCAAATGTGGAAAGAGCAGACTATTCAATCCTCAAAAAAGCAGCACTTTTACCGCGATTAATTCACGTTTTCAAATTCAATACGCCGATGGGGGTAGCGCTACGGGATTGGTTGAACAGGTAGTTTATTATTTAGTAATTGTTCTTTCCAGTAACTGTTTATTTCATTTATTTACAGATATCATAAATAGGATACAATACAAATAGGATATATGAATATAAAAAATCAAAAGTTCGCTATGGTCGACAATTTAAGTCAAGATTTTATGGCGGATGTTGTTGATGGAATTATGGGATTAGGTGAGTTAATGGTGTATTTTTATTCCAGAGTAAGATATGTAGATTAATAGGTTCCAATGATTCCTTAAAAATAGGCTATGATTCACTAGCAGCGGCCACCGGTACATCTACACCTCTCTCCAACATGTTAAACCAAGGATTAATACCGCGTGCAATCTTCTCGGTTCAACTTCGCCCTGCTCGTATTAAATCTTCTTACGGGGGTGAATTCACATTTGGTGGGGTGGATACTAGTTTATTTACAGGACCAATTACATATACAAGTGTAACACAACAACTGTACTGGCAAATCTCGATTGATGGCGTCGAGATGAATGGGCAGATCATAAGTGGAAGCCAACAAGTTATAGTGGACACAGGAACTTCTTTAATGGTTCTTGGGACGGATGTGGTTAATAATATTATTAAAACAGTTAAAGGGAGGTATGATTCGTCTACTGGAACGTGGCAGGTCCCATGTAATATGGCTAATGGAGCGAATGCAGTGAAAATCGCGATTAGAATAAATAATGTTGCGTGGACGATCAATCGTATGTGCATGTATTATTAAAATATTATCACGTGATAAATGTAATGAAATTAATTTGCTCTTTCCCTTATAGCTTTGGATCTTGTAAGAGAACGAGTGTCGCGCTCCAACAAATTTTGTTATTCAGGAATGGTATCAACTGATGAAAACGTAAGTCGAAATAGAATAGAATATATTAATTAGTTCCATACAACTTTATTTGTTCAACATCTTTCTTTCTTTCTTAATAAATTTAGGTGTGGATACTTGGAGGTGTATTTCTGAAAAATGTTTATGTAAGTAATTTATCGACATTTCTGGAAAGAGTTAAGCGAAAGCTTTGATATTTACGAGATTAAGTTTTATAGGTTGTTTTTGACCGTGAAAAAAACAGACTTGGGTTCGCCACTCCCGTTTATTCGTGACCTAAAAAATTTCTATGGAATAATCCGATCTATTAAACAATTGTTTCCCTGAAAATAAATGTTTAAAAATTCGAGACAAATACTTGTCTTATAAATTTGTGTTAGCATTGTTGAACGGCAAGTCAACATTCACATAGCGCTAGAATTCTCCCTCACTTGCAATTATTGAAGCGAGTTAATTAACCGATTCTAAAGTTTATAAGTAAGGAGTCTAATTACTATATTTACAAAGTTAAAAAAGAACTTATTTCTCTTGATTAACTGTATTTTGGTAAACGGAAAGTCTACGGATAGTAAATCATATAATAAATATAAAAATTATTACGCGCAAATACAGTATATACTTTGCTTTATAGAATCTTTATTTTATGTTCTTTATAAAAGAAATTGATAAAATCATTTTCGTAAGGTAATTATTATTATTATTTATTTGTTTATCTGTTATACTATTTTACTAGCTGAATTACTTATAGAAAGAAATTGAACTATACGATCTTGAATTAATAGCTTTATCTTGTTGCTTCTAAGTAGAATGGACTGAAATATGTAATGTGCATATGTGACGATAATTTTACATATCATATGTGTACATTCTACACTGAAAATATCACATGTTCTATTTCTAATTGGCTAGTAAAAATATTTTTTTTTTGTCTACATCAAAAGTTCCGGGTCCCATGATAAAAAATACCATCACGGAACCCGAAGTTCCAGCCATTTCAAATAAAAATTTTTTACTAGCCAATCAGAAACAGACCATGTGATGTTTTTCGGTGTAAAATGTACACATATGATATGTGAAATTATCGTCACATATGCACATTTCATATTTCAGTCCACTCTACTTCTAAGGTAGCAAACTGTGTCCATTGATTAATAATTGGTGGTACGGGTGCACCATTATGGCTACATAATAATTATTGTCAACAAAAGCTTTATTATGATTTAATGGGTAATGATATGAACGAAAGGTAGGATTTATTGTAACGAAAAAAAATGTAGTGGGTATTTGCATAAGATCTTCCATTTTCATCCTGTATTCAAATGTACAAGGACTTTTTATCCAAGAAATTTTTCTTATAATTGTTTCATAATCATTAACTGAAAACAGTAATCATTAAAATTGCTTTCTTTATTTAATTCCTTATACAATATTTTTTTTTTACTTATGATCATTTGTTTTCATTTTCTCCTAAGCATATAGCTAGTGCTTTATATTCACAGTTGCTATCACCAATCATATTTATTAATTTTTTTATATATTTTTATATTTATATTTTTTTTTTGTAGGTAAACATTATTTTTTTATATAATTTGTATAGAATTACATATATATTGTGAAAAAAAGTAATATCCCTTATATATAATAATATAACAAGTTAAATGCTAGCTTGCTTATAGTAACTGCTTAACTAATATTGAAAAAAAATTTTAAAATAATATATTTTGTCAAGTAGCCTTGAGCAGCTATTATTACCTATTTAATATTAAATAAAAAAAAAATTAAAAAAACTAGATATTAATATAGTGAGGCAATTGAAAAAATTATATTTATTTTGAATATATAAGTTTGTAATTATAATTGATAAATCAATAATAATAGAAATTTATATAGTAATGAAGGAAGAGTTATTAAATGATTTTGGTTTGGTGATAATCCAAATGTTTGTTTTAGTTGAAGTATTAGAAAAGTTTTTATTTTATTTAATACCAGTAAGAAAAAAGATATTCAAATTAATTTATATAAATAAGCTAAGATTTCTATTGATACTTTGACTTATTTGAAAAAACTGGCTATAAAAAAAATATTATTGATAATACCATATACAAGTTTTATTAATTGTCAAGCATATAAAATTGGTTTATAATTATTTTTGAAATAAAAAATATTATTAATAATATTGATAAATCGATTGATTTTTTTTGATATTATTGAATATTTAAACATATGTTAAATATCTTTTATCAAAAAATTTCTGAAAAATCTTTGAAAATCTTTAAAAGTCTTTAAAAATTTTAATATAAAAATTTTAATAATAACAAACTTTGAAAATTTTTATTTTAAAAAAATTTAAAAATCTTTAAAGTAATAATAATTATATTAAAATAAATAATTATTTAATAAATGTTTATTACTTTTACCAAATATTGAAATTATATAAACTAAATTATCTATTGCTCTTGTATTTATTAGATTATATATATTGATTGATTTAAAATACGTATATATATTTATACATATACAATATAGTAATTTTTTTAATTTAAAATTATATCATTGTACTAATATTAATTGTAGTGAAGATCTTTAAATTGTTTTGCTTATATTTATTATTAATAAAATCTAAAAAAATTATATTGATTTTAAAATAAAATAATATTTATATTTTAAATAATTATAATTACTTTTCTATAACAGATTCTATTATCTATCATATGGTTACATAATTCTTCAGAAATTTATTTTAATTAATATATTACTAAATCATGAGATATTATAATATTTATTAGATACCTAAACAATTCTATTATTCTTTATTATAACTGTTTCAAATATTATTAATACAAAATTATTTATTAAAATATTCAAAAAATTAAAGTATAATTTTAAAACACTTTTAAGATTTTTAAATTCTTGTTTATAATTTTCATTATCTTTTGAAAAAATTTAAAATACTTTATTTATTAAATTGTTTAAATTTTTTAATTCAAATTCCTATAATTTATTTGAAAATATAAATACTTTTAAAATAATTATTCAATCTTTAAAGCTTTGTAAAATTTTATTATTTATTAGTTTTCTTCAATTCTAAAAATATATAATATTGTTGGATATTTCAAAAATTTGTTAATTTATTTATATATTTATATTTTGTATTAATTGTTTTTTGATATTTTTTTTATTACTTAAATAATAAAATTATTTAATATATTCTTTATAGAGACTTTTATAAGTTTCCAAAGTGAATTCATTTATTATTCCATATCTTTAAATAGATAAAATTATATGATATATTCATAAGTATAATTTTGAAAGTTTTAGTTGTAAAATTGAAATCTTTTAAATATTTTTATAAATATTTGTGCTTAGACTTCTATAATAAAATATAATTTAAATATTTTATAGTATAATTAAATAAACAATTATTACATTCCTTAAAATTTTTTAAATAACTTTTAAAGAACTTCTTATATTTATTAATTAAATATATATTATTTCATTTTTGATAAATTATTGGCAATTTTTTAATATCTATATTCTGTATATTTTCATCACATACTATATATTATTCATTACAAAAATCATAACTTTATTAAATTTTTATATTTATTTGCAGTTAGTCTTGCGATAGATTGAATATCATATGAAAAAAATTTTAATCTCAGAAATATTGGAATTTGTACAAGTTTTTGATCCATTTTATTCAAAAATAAAAGATTATGAAAGTCCTTTAGTAATTTATATATACAGTATATTCAATTTGATATTAAAAAAAATCCAAATCAAGATAATGCATTCTATTGAATACAGTTGCTTTATATATTTATTTTACTATAAATTATAAATTAATAAAATTTAATTTAGTTTTATAATACATAAATTAATTATAAAAATTATAAAAACTTATAAAATACTTCAAAAAAAATTATTGATATTTTTATTGATACTGATTGTTAAATTTAATTGAAATATTTTTTTTATTCTTTCATGATTTTGAAGTATTATATTTTTTTTTGATAAATTTATTTCTATAAGATTTTCTCTTATAACTAAGCAAAAATAATAGTGATTATTTGAATTACTTAATTTATAAGTTAAAAAAAAGATTGCAGCTTCAGGCTAATCAGATATAATTATTGATATTTTTGAAATAAATTAAATGGTTTTGTCTTTAATTGAATAGTTAATTCCATTTTTTATTGAAATTAATGACTCAAGTAATATCTCTAGACATTTGTGAAAAGTTTTATGTATAATTTTTTTAAAATTTTGTGATTGTTTTTCTATTATTTTTTTTGATTTAATTATTGGCAAATATTCTAATAGTTGTTTTGCATCTGATTTATTGTGCCTTCAAGTTGATATATTTTTTAATAAAACATATATTGGATATAGTAAACTTTTTTCCAAAGTATTATAATTTGTTGTATCAGAATATAATATTATTGAAAGTAATTTAAAACCTGGCAAAATAGAATTATAACAATTTGGATACATGCTATATTTGGAATCTTGAACATATACTATAATTATCAGAGCTATCATTTATCAAAACTATATGATATTTCAAGAAGTAATTTGGATTATTAATAGCATTCATAGTAATATTGCCATATGGAATTAACAAGGAGTTATTGTTATATTAATTTAATATATAAAAGATTTTATTTTATTATTTTATTTTTTATTTTTATTTTATTATATTTATATTTTCTATGTAATTATACATATGTCTTTTGGAAGGTTAAGCCTTATATAGATATATATATAATATTTTATGTATTTTTATTTTATTTATTATTTTGAAAAAGATTATAATAATAAAAATGTATTCAAAAGATTCAAGAATCTAGAGAAACAAGAACAAAGAATTCTTCAGTCTTTTTATCATCTTTTTGGTTTCACTCTTTTTTTTTTCAAGTATACTTTTTTTTTTTTTATTTTTCTGGGGAATTTTGCCTATTTCGGTTTGACCCTGAATTTTTGGTTACACCAGATCTCCTGAAAAATGATTGATCAAGGTTATGGATTGATTAATCATGTCAGCCTCAGAAAAAGTAAACAAGACATGTACTCCTCACATGTTCCCAGTTGCATAACATTAAACCAATGATGTGATTGGTTTCTAAAAGAGTTGGACAGTTTTTGGTTAAAGGAATAATATAGAAGTATTAAGTGAAGTAGAAGTTGTAAGTAA